CGAGACGGCGGCAAACCCACCTGCGGCTCCTCCGGCTCGTGCCAGTCCGCCAGCAGGTACTCCCGCACCGCCGCCACTCCCCGTCTCGCCACCGCCAGCGGGGGGTGCACCAGCGGGTTGCAGCCGGTGGTTATGCGAGTGAGGGCGGCCAGCAGCCCCAGCTCCCGGGGGAGAACCGTCAGCTCGTTGTTGTGGAGTTGCAGGTCAGCCAGCCGCTGCCGGAGGTGGCCTGGGATAGCAGAGGGGTTGTGGTGAGGGTGTGTGTAGAGGGGAGTAGGGGGAAGTAGGGATATGCTGGGGTGGGGTGCGGTAGGGTAGGTAGGGTACGGTGGGGTGGGGTGCTGAAGTCTGCAAAGGCACCCACCACCCGGCACCCACCACCCGGCACCCACCACCCGGCACCCACCACCCGGCACCCACCACCCGGCACCCACCACCCGGCACCCACCACCCGGCACCCACCACCCGGCACCCACCACCCACCACCCTCATACTGCGGACAAGAATTCAATATTGGATCCCCAAAGCAACTTGGGGAAATTTTATTTGAAAAGCTCCATTTGCCGTTTTCAAAAATATTAGGTAAATCGAAAACCTATGGCCACGGAGCACACAACCCACACAAGCGCCGGCTGGCCCTCGCGGCGCCTCTGCCCCCTCCCTGCTGCCTGGGGCTCCACCCACGCACCCACCCACCCACCCAAGACGTCTACCCTCACACCACCCACCCGGCTGCCCACGCACCCAGGGTCGCTGGCAGGGCTGTGAGCTTGTTGTGGTTAGCGAATATTCCCGTCAGGCTGGACGCGTCCCCCAGCTCCGAAGGAAGAGCCGTTAGTCGGTTGTAGGAGACGTGCAGGGCCGTCAGGCTAGGCAGGCTGGCGCATTCGGGCGGAAGGTACGACAGCTGGTTGCTGTCGAGCTGAGAGGGGTGCCGTACACGTGCCGTACGCGGTGCCATGATGGGTCGGCGGGAGGGACGGGTGGGGCCAGGGTTGGGGAGTGTCAGGCGGGCCCTGAGGGCGCTGAGCAGTGTCGTGGGGGTTAAGTGAGTTATGCGGTGTCTGTCGTACAGGGCACGGGGTTTTTGCAAAGGCGGGACACTTTCCGGAAAGGTACGATGCGTCGTACGGAAAACCGGAAAGACATAACGACAGCATAACACAAATCACAATGCAGCGCCTAGTACGTGCTTACATATGTTTTGACGGGTTCCTTCCCCCCGCCCGCCCGCCCGCCCGCCCGCCTGCCCGCCAGTATCACAAAGCAATAATTCTCACAACGGCAGCCTAGTGCCTGGTGCCGTACCCTCACCCCACACCCCACGTCCTACCCGCATCTCCAACAGCCGACTCAACCGGCCCATCCGCAGCGGCAAGCACTGCAAGGAGTTGTGGCTCAAGTCCAAACTGCGAAGCGTACGGGCGTACGGGAGTACGGCGTTTACTTTAGGAATATATCTTTGGGAGGAAACTCCAAGGGGGGGTTTTGGGGTATGGGGGCGGAGGGCGCAGAAGACAGGACCGGTGTACGACACGTATGAACACAGCACTTAAGAGACACGGTGACTTGTACGGCCCGTACCTCGTGAGTGCGGTCAGGTCGCACAGGGCATCCGGCAGCGCCACCAGTTGTACATTTCTTGAGAGGTCCAACGCCAGCAGCTTCCGCAGCTTTCCCAGGCTGTCAGGAACTGGGGGGTGGGAGGAGGGACGGGGGGTGGGCCGCAAGGGCGGGCTGAGGCCAGAAAAAGAAGTCGCATGCGTGCCGCGTGCATCGAATGAAGCAGGAGAAAAGGGTTTCGGAGACCCATGTCGTCCCACACCGTCACCTACACTATGTGGGATCCCGTACACCGCCAGGGTCGCCGTACACCGTCAGGGTCGCCGTACACTGGCGGACCACGCAAGTACACCGACCCACAGGATGAGCATGAGCTCCGTAATGTAAAAGCTGTACTGTGAATTTTATCATTTGTAACCCCACACACAGGCACACGCAAAGACGCCGCCGAAGGTACGTCAGCGGTTTGCTAAGCTTCTCCTCGCGGTTCAGCTCTGCAGGACAAACCAAGTACGACAATGACGCACATGCGCTCGGCTTCATTCTCTCAGCCAAGCTCCGAAACCCAACACGGACTTGTTCAGGGTGTTCCCTGTAAAAACGTTTTTTTGCCGGTGGTTATCCCAGTAGCAGTTCAGCCAAGTTTCGCGACCACACAGACACACACAGACACACGTACATGCATACACACTCATACACACATACACACGCCCGCGCATTACCCCCCGCCCCCCCCCACCC